AGAGGTCAGACGGCCCCGTCTTAGGTACAGGGAAGAAATGTGCTCATCCTCATTTTGAAACCAGAGAGGGCGTCTAGGTTGCTTTACACAAAAGCATCTCCTCCACTCCACTTGCCCATGTCTTAAAAATACAGAATCAGTGTTGAATTTATTAAATCTATGCTAATGCATCCCCAGGTGCCTCTCTCTTTCTCCTCCCCCCGCAGAATTATACATTACTTCAGCCTTGAGTTTGGCCTTGCTGTCATACACTGATTTTGATTGTTCGGGTTCTGGTTAAGGATATAGTATTATATCATGGCAAGTAACAGTAGGTCTCCCAGTTTAAGTAGTAATTTCCAGAGTAATGAAAGCCGGTTACATTATATTAACCCAAAACTTAAAGAATCATTTACATTAAATAAGGGATGTATAAGTGTGAAGATAGTTGTGTTTGTAGTATGTGTAGAGCATAAATATTCTTTTGAATATGGATTTAGTGAGTTTTTTAATAAAATATAATCAAGTAATGTGAAGTACAAAGATTCTTTAGTAGAACTAATCATTTCATGAATTTTAAAATTTGTAGCTCACCCTCTTAAATACAAACTTTTATCTTTATGACTAAATGTGTACAGATGAAAATAAAAATTCAGAAACTTGTTACAAATTCATGTGTGATGCAATATATAGAACACTAAATTCAAAAAGCTTTGGTCAGTCCCTGGGTATTATCATTATTTAGTTTGTTAATCTGTGAGAACCAAGATTTTCAAAACACTATGTGCCATATATAACCCAATTTATCTTCCCATGAATTCCCTGTGGGTACCCAGTGCCCAGACAAATAATCACTATAATTTTAAATTAGATATGGAAGACTCATATCATCCCTAAGTATTTTTGTGAGAGAATGCTCTACCTACAGATACCTACTCTTGTAGTCTCCATTTACAGAATAAGTTTCAAGTTGTATTATTTTGTGTGTATTGTTCTGCTTCCCGTAATAAGAATCCATGCCAGCATAGCATATTATTAGAAAAGGTTAACTCTATTAAGTTTCCATATAATAATTTTCACTTAAGTACAATTTATAGCAAGGAAATGGTTCATAATTCCTCAGATTATCCAAGAGTTTATCTTACTTGTGTTTCAAAAATTGATCCTTTCCAACTTAAAAATCTATTCTATCTTCAGACAATAAAATAAACATATTACTGAAAATATAATTTCTATATTGAAAATATTAATTCATTAAGGAATAAGAAAATTGATTTATTCACTATTGCTATAGCTTACTGTGTAACAAGACAAAAATGAAAATACATTTTTCCATTACTTAAAGATAATCCTAACTCAATTTATTTCTCTTTAATTACGAACAGGTTTGAAAGAACTTCCTAGAAGCACTGTTCTGAGTTATTAAAACATAGTTAAGAAATACACATCCTAAAATTCTAAAGTATGAGCATGGCAGATGTTTAATAACTCTAATTTTTAAAGTGTATAGACAGTTCAAAACTTAGTTTTTCTCTCTTGTAGGCTTTGGATTGATCATATATCCATAAATGAATGGTTATACTTCTAATATCTTAATTGGGAATGTTTAGTGACATAAATGTACTGTGTTATACTGTAATTGGAGAGCGAATTAGTCAAGGAAATGATAGTCTTCTGCCAAAATTAATTCTGGCAAGCAACACTGGAATGAAATATTAAATCCCAAGCCATCGAAACAGCCCCTCAGAAAGAAGGGACTGATTATTCAGGATTGGCAGGGTCTCCTTGTGCTTAATTTGAGAACTAGCTTAAGGGCTGGTCAGAGCAATATTAGGGAAGACTTCCTCTTTCCAACATGTTCCCAGAATTCAAAAATATAATGGTGATATCAGAAAGACTGTTGAAAATTAGAGCTCTAGAAGGCTAAGTCAAAAGGTGTTTTTGGAGGCTAACACTAAATAAGAGCCATAAACAATAGTAGAAATATTTCTTGAAAGACTTTAGAAAATTTCTCTCTAAGGAATATTTGTTCGCCCTATCTTCTCTTCTTTTTAATAATGTGTTTATTTTCTTTAGGGTTATTAATTCCTCATTGTAGGAATGGATTAATTTTTAGAGGTAACACTTTATTACAAAATGCATACGTAAGTTCATCTCAATTAACTCTTGCCCAGTAACATTTAACTTTGTCCTTGTAACCATAAAGTGCTTTTGCTTAAACAACTGTATTTGTTTTGTTATTAATTCACATGACCCTTGGAGTGATGACGTGTGCTAGAATATTCTGAATAGAGATATTAGATGTCATAAATGCTATTTCATGCCTTTGTAGAGTGAGACACTAGGAAATTATTACACTTTTCTATATGCTGTTTATGAAGGGGCTACTGCATGTTCAAACTCATAGTGGTAGTATTCTACTACAGCTGTTTTATTTCACAAATGAATAATTTTGGGGAGAGAGCAGTAGGTAATAAATAAATATTTCCAACAGGCGTATAGCTGGTAAAATGAATTTTCTGCAAAGAGATGCATTAGAAAAAAATGTAGAAGTGAGGAGCCCTGCCAACATCCAGTTTTGATCATTTAAAACACTTATTTATTCTGCAATCATAGAATCTAAGTCAGAGGGTATGGTGTGTGTATGTCTGTGTGATCTCTCTAGCTTATATGCCATAATCTACAGCCTAATTCAGTGATACCACCCTTCCAAGACTGCTGAAAAGTTCAGTTCCCTCCTTGTTAGGTGATTCAGCACTCATTACATGAAAAAATACGGTTTTCCTGGTGGAGACCTTAAAGGTAACACGAAGTTGAGTAACAGCATGTTTGGTCATGGGAGTTTTTCATTTACATGAGTAGAGTTTAGTGTACCTAAATATTAATGTGACATTCTGGCACAAAGGAAGCAATTTTCTAAATTTTATTACACTGCAAGGAAAAATCAGAATATAAGAACATTTGATAGTAAATAATCATGAGACTAAATTAATTTTAACTTAACAATAAATTCTGCCTGCATATAACCTTGGCTATTGATGATCCATGTTGCAATGCATTTTACTTTGTACCTCCAATTCTCTGTCTGTATTTGGTCTTGTAAAAATATTTTCTCCAATAATCTCCTTCTATTTTTCCTTTGTACTAAAATGGGAAAAAAACAAACTAATTTAAAAAGTGAAAATTTAGATTAAGTACTGGCCAGTGATTTTTCTTCCCATAAAGAAAATTGGATGCCTGTATTTGATTTTAAAATATTTTACAACCAAAATTTCAGTTTAAAAATGTTCAACATATATTCGGCTGATTTAAAAAATAATATTCAATCAATGTGTTTGGAATTTAATTCAACATTTAAGCTTAAGTATGGAGAAGTTATAAAACATACAAATCACAGTTGCTTAATCTAGAAGAGTTCAGGGATGGATATCAATTTAGCCATCATTGAAAGGACAAAGCAATGGCTGCCTATAACTAACTGACATTAGCGAGTGCATTGTCTGAGGTACTGAAGGTGTTGGCACACAACAGAAGTAGGCTGGTACAGAAATGGTGTAAACTGGTCAGGACCCAGTAGAAAGCAGTATTATATAGAGAAAATAGCACCTAGGTAAAAATTTTGAACTCTGGATTTAACATGTCTTTGAGTTCTGCTTCTACCACCCAATAAATGTCTAAGCTTTAATTTTTTTCTTAGTGTATTTCACTGTCTATTATAAAATAGTAGCTTTTTGAAGGGTTATTGTGCAGGGTACATATGAGTGTAAGCAAATTAGAGTCTCACACACAGTAGGCATTCAATAAATGTTAGTGAGAGTTGTTTTTACTATTTCTAAAGCAGCTATGAAAAAAAAGCCAGATCTATCTTTCCCATCCTTTCGCTGTATTTGGAGGGAGAGAAGAAAAATAAAGAGAATTCCTTCTCAGGGTCAAGATTTTAATTTAAAGGAGAGCAAAGGACTTGGAGTTTGCCTTGCATTGTCTGTCAAGAAAGGGACCATTTAAAGGGGGGAGCTCTGGGATGTCCAGGAAGTACTACTAAGGAAAAGGACAAGGGCTGAGCTGAGCTAGACTCTTCTGTGTCATTTAAGATTCCATTCTGAACAATTGGGGTCTTCCTTGAGGGGTTGTACACTGTGAGAACAACTCCGAAACTGGGCCTGTGTTCTTTAGGAACCACAGCTACATGAGTGTGTGGTCAGGAAACAATTCTGCTACAGCCTGGATCAGTGAGAAACAGAAAGTTCTCAGAAACTCAGAAACAAGCTATCCTCATGCTTTGGTAGTGAAAGGCACCAGTGAAATGATTCCTTTCATAGATTAGCAGATAAGAGAGGGAAGAGAGATGATGGGAAGAAATGGATTAGTTTGTATCCTAGGTTACAGGATCAACCTTAGAATTAAAACATTCCCAGAGACAATTCATCTTTCAGTCTAATTACTGAAACCATCCATTTGTGTGAAATGTCAGTTGCATGCTCCACTAAATTGTGAGTTTTTCCAGAACAAAATCAGGCTAAATTTACAGGCAAAAAAAAAAATTATGAGATCAATAAAAGAAAATGTTCCTAACAAGTAAATCTGCCCAACAGTAAGATATGTTTCTTTTAGATATACTTATTTGCATGATAATATTTTTTTCTGTAATAAAGGGAAGTTATTAATGTAGATGACATTGAGTTTTCAATCTTATTTTAAGTTTAATAATCTCATAAATTGCATGAGTACCTGACATAGTGGTATTACATAGGAAATAGACATCTGTTAAATGAAAAATAATTTCTCATTTAAAATTAGAAAAAATTGTGAAATTTATGACAACTCTAAACAAGAAAAAATTTTTGATGAAGCATTAACAAATATTCTTAAAATGTAAAATAATCAAGATGACTTGGGTGCTTGAGTATTAAGTATACTAGAGCAATACTGTGAAGGGAAAATCATAAAGCTTTAAAAAGTAATTGATTAAAATATGGCAAGATGTTTGGGACACGTTTTAAAGAGATAACACTTTTATGTAGAACGTGAACGATGAACCTCCTATGTGTCATCCACCGCATTTGGAAACTCGGATTTATTCCACGGTCAAAGGCCCTTTTATTCAACTCAACTGTTCAGACACAGACTCTCCACAGGGACAGCTCAGCTATTTAATTGTAGGAGGTAAGAGGTATGATTTCAAATACATCATTTCTTTACTATTTTACAAGACATTCATGCGGAATTTTTATAACTGTTAGAAACATATCATGAAATATGTTTTTTTCAGAAACACCTTACTATAATAAAACAATGCTAATGTAGCTTTATTTCTGTCTCCTTACCTCATCATTCTCAGGAAATACAAATAATCAGTTCACACTTTGGAGACTGGGTGTTGATCCTCCTTCTCTGGCCACCGGGCAGCATTTCCAGTATGATGGATTTCAGGGAATTCAAGACCCTGTGACTTTCCAGTTACTCGTGCAAGTCACTGATGAATTAGGTGGGAATACAGCTCGTCAGCTGTCAGCCACTTCTACCATCATCGTGCATGTGGTTCCCTGGATCACATCACGGCCAGCTTCGTCCACAAAGGCAGCTTCAACGACAGTGAGTACTTAGTGATTTACTGTGATTCTGCAGTAGTAGGAATCAGTCATAAGCACACAAAGCACTTGGGAACCCGCATTTTGGAAATGAAATATATTCATGAGAGAGTTACTTTAACACAGACAAATTTTCATCATCAAAATAAGGATAAGTTATTGTGGTTATTAGTCATTAATTTTGAGTTGAGGTAAATATGTCAATATTAATTTTGTAGCCCATTTTGCCATTTATTTCAACAAAATTCTTGGTAATTCTGTTGATTCTTATCATTGTATAATTTATCTATGTAAAGTAATGCAAAGATTTTATTATGGGCATAGCACTATATTAGGATTATAAAAATATTTGACACCATGCTTTCTTCAGAAGCATACAATCTCACTAGAGGACAAGATAGATACTTTGAGTCAGTCAGTTCAAGCTGCTATAACAATACCATAGTCTGAGTGGCTGACGTAATCACAATAAACATCTACTGCACTCAGCCCAGGAGCTGCGAAGACAAGATTAATGCAGTAATCGATGCAGTGTCTGGTGAGGATCAGTTTCCAAGTGTGAAGATATCCGTCATCTCAGTGTGTCCTCACATGACAGGAGCGCTGCAGAGCTGGAGGCTTCCCCCGCATCTCTGTGGAAAGACGCCAATCCCTTCCACAGGGATTTGCATTCATGGCATAATTGCCTCTCTCAGACCCACCGCTCAATAATGTTGGATTGGGGTTAGGATTTGCACATGTGTTGATGGAACCCAAACATTCATTCCCTAACACATCCAGGATAATTTAACTAAATGCTACCCAGTACCAAATGGTAGCACAATCATTACTTAAGTTTGAGATTGAAAATAAGGTAAGTTTACTTGGGAAACCATAACTTCTCCAAAACTAGAAGAGGAAAGAAATGATGTAGTTTTGAAATAATTGATACTCACTTTGTTCATGTAAAGAGGAGAAACTCTAGAGAACAGGCAGAGAGTTAGCCTGGAAAAATTGTAATGCACCTTGGATTAGTGTCAGGAAGAAGAGGGCTTGGGATGTAGCTCAGTGGGAGAGAAAAAGAAAGTTCAGGGTAGACATGAAAAATATTTGAAAACGGGTTCCTTGAATGTAAGCCTGAGCAGTTTAGATGCCAGTGCAGACACAAAGTTACCACCTTTATACAGCAGCGAAGACAAGCCCACCGTGCTTGGAAAACTTCACCAATATGCAAAGAAGTCAATGATGGCGTGGAACTGCTTTGTGCATTGTGCAGTTAAAGCAGCCATTTCGGTGCTCATTTCCATTTCCTTACTGACACTCCTAGGATGTTCCCTATACAACTAAGCTGATCTAATGATATATACTTAAATTAAAGTAGCCATTTGTTCATAAAGTTATAGAAAATTCCTCCCACTGGTTGACTTCATAGTCAAGAAATTTTGTGTCAACTACATAAAGTATGAACTTAAATATACTTGATGCAAAGAAAATATATTAGATTAAAGTAGTATAGAACTGGATTGTGCCTAAGAGACACAAATTATAATTCTTTATCTGGTAAATTCATAGGATCCTAGATCCTCACTACTTATTTCTAACAATTTCTGAACCCAGTGGATATAACCCATTATTAAATATAGCCAGGTACACGATAAGATAATATACTAAAGAAACAAAAGAACCCTAAAAAGCACATACAAAACTACAGCAACTGTAGCTAACATATTATCAAACATGAACTGTAATATAATTGTGCTTATTAAGTTCAAGAGATATAAATCATGTTGGAAATTTTCTTAGAGTACTGGAGACTATAAAAGTAGCCTATGATAATTGAAGACATGTCAAATATATCTAGGATTTGAAGACACAATAACCAAAGTGACAACTTCATACATAGGTGTAATGGCTGTTTACAAATATTTGAGGAAATAATTACAAACTGAAGATGGGTTAGAAGATTCTATTCAGAATGAGGTCTAGAAAGATGAAAGGTATGAAAGCAATAAGAGGGGGAAACACAAAAATTAAAATGAGAAATTTTAGTTTATTTTAATTTGAGAGAAAGAAGACAGGGTCATTGCCTATTTTTCAAAACCAATGAAAGATAACCTGTAAACTGAGGGAGTTCCTCAACTCTGAGGAAAAAAAGTGAAAAGAATTTTAAATTTAAACACATAGTAGAGCTACTTAAAATCCAAATATAACAAGAAAATTAAAATCTGTTAAAAAATCATTTAAAATGCATATATATATAGAGAGAGAGAGAGCGAGAGAGAGAGCAGACTTTATAATGGAAATGATGAAATCCAGAAAAATGGAAACGTTTAAGTTGCTATAAGAAAGTAAGTGCCAACCTAAAATGTTCTGCAGAGCAAAAATCTATGTAAGAATATTCTGTTTTGGCTGTATCTAACAATTTTTCATGTAGTATTTTCATTCATTCATTTCAAAATATTCCCTAGTTTCTTAACTTCACAAGGCATGGGGAATTTTTCCTATTTGATTAGACTTCTAATTATTTATGATCAGAGATAACACCCTGTGGACTTCAATCCACTGATACCTATTCAGACCTGCTTTATAGCTTACTATATGTTCAAATGTTGTAAATGTTCATGTGCCACTATTTGGCTTTTCAAAAGTGTCGATAAAGCCATGACAAATGAAAGATTTGAGAAATTGTATTGGACAGTTGATATTGATATAGATGAAGGAGTAACAATTCTCTGTCTCCATCAAGTCCACATGAGTTGTAGACTAAAGAGGCAGAAATAAACAAAATAACTAAACTTTAGAAAGAATGTTAAGAGTACTTATTAATTTGGGGATCATACTTTTGGTATCAGGAAAGCTTTCTTAAATGAAATGACCAAAAACAAAAACAAAGAACCAAAAGCTAGATACATGGGAAATTTTTGAGAAATCTCAGTACGCTAGAGTGAAGAACATCTCATTTAAGAGATGGAAGGGTTACTTTTGCTTCAGAAAAATCTGACATGGGAAGAGCAAGTAAAAGTAAAATGTAAGCAAAACTAGACATACTGACAAATCCTTATGACTGTGTGATGCTGTTTACAAAGTTATTTTACTTTTTATATCATAGTTTATGTGTTCAAGATCACCTTTCAAAATTAATCTGAGAAGGCTTATATTCTTTGTTCAACTATTAGAGTTTAATACAGTAAATCAATCCTTGAATATCCTTCATATTATATTCTCACTACTCATTAAAACTGTAACTACCATAGAGCTTTCAATCATAAATTTTATATGTTTAAATGTTATAATTCATGATTTTAAGTATGAGAATTCTTCTGGTCAGCTGTACATTAATCCTTGGGCCCTCCTCACCCACAAGTGTGATCATGAAACTTTCTTACAAATTCCACACGTTTTCAAATCACGTCATAAGGCAGGTAGGTATTGCCTAGGATACATTTATATTGATTGTGGTGCGAGTTGCCATAGTAGCATTCCAAAGAGTTAAATTGTATTGTTTTTCATTTCTGGCTCAACATGAATCTCACCTCCCTATTCTTAGTTTTCTCTGCTGAATCTTACTCCTCTGGGAGAGATTACTTTAGCCTATACTGCTGTGGAAAAAAAAATCTCTTAACTTATGTTAACACATAGATTTCCACCATCCAAATTCCTGATTAAGAAAGCAAAATATAGCAAGGCAGAGAGGGATTGTAATAAAACATAATAGACAAAATAAATTCTGCAGCAAGATGTGAAGGGAGTTTTAAATTTGTAGTTGAGCTAAGTGATACTGTAATCATACACTTCCACTGGCAAAGTACGTTAAGGTTGGTAAAAGAGGCAGACTAGTTAATGCTGTCTGGAAATGATTACCAACCTGTGACTTATGAATTTATTCTCAAAAAAAAATGCTGTGCTCCATAAGTCATGTATGCTTTAACATTTGTTTGTGTGCTTATATAATATTTACCTCTTCTCAGGGAGATACATGTGCTTCTCTTTGCAAAAAGTATTACAACATCAAAAGCAACATTAGGAATTCTATTGTTTTATTTGTCGGTTGAGCAACAAGGAAAAATGATACCTAAATAGGTATTTACCGTACAGGCATACTTTACTGCAGGTTGATCAAAAAAGACAATCAATGTTTAAATTTTAAAATATTTATTATAGTGAAAGACACATCGCCGTTAATTCTCCTCAAATATTCCCTCTTTCTTAGACCCTGTACTGAGCCTTCGTGATCAGGCTTACTCCATCATTCTTGCCACTTTCTGGGCAGTTCTGGAAGCTCACTTTTGTGTCTTTAGTTGCTCTGCCATGGTTATCTTGATCTATTTAAAATGCTTCCCTTTCATGGTCATTTTGACTTCAGGGAAGAGCCAGAAGTGACATGGTTTGGATCCCATGAAGAAAGTAGTCAAGGACACACTGTCATGTTCTTACGAGCCTGCCTTCCCTTGAATGGCACTTGGCAGCAGCATTCACAATATTTTTTATCACATGTCATAAAGACACAAAAGAGGACTTCGGAACTGCTTCAGAAAGTGGAAAGAATAATGGGATAAGTGTGTTTGAAGTTCAAGGGGAGTGGAAGTTTTCTGAGGGGGATTCATGGCAACGTGTCTTTTGCTGTAATACTTTTATTTAAATATTCATTGCATATTTTGATCACCCTTTGTAACTTCTACTTTCTTGAGAGTAACCAGGCACACAAACAGACCTACATATTTTAAGATAATTTTTAATAGGTGGCATTTCTCAAAGTTTTTTGAATACATCACTGACTAGCTGTTATTTATGTTTGTTATAAAATTATCTTGTAATGATCATCCATGTCTCCATCCATCTGTTTACTAACTATATGGCCAAACCTTGGGATAGCTATTGGCTTGAAAAGTTTAACGAGTTACAGAAGAGCTTTTCAGCTATCAATAATAGAATATCTAAGTGGAAGCCACTTAAATAATCAGGACACATGCTCAGAAAAGTGGGGAACTTGGTGGAAAGGTAAGGCATGTATTTTAATATGTCTGT